GATGGATATATATTTTATCTTCATGTTGCTACTCTTTAAGAACTACAGACATGTTTTAGACTTTAATTTGTATCTCATATTTTAATGAATAAAACAGAGGAAAGGTCTCTAATATTCCAGAGTCTAAATATATTCTCCAGTGGTCTTTTATTATCTAAGTCATCCTTCTCAGGCTTGAGTGCACTAGGAACTCAAAAAGAGCTTATTAAAAATGATCATCCTTCATATGTCTCCCCCAGAGGTTCTAAGTTACTAGCCCTTGGGTGAGAAGTTAGAATTTTAAAAAATTAAAAAGATGACCAACTTTGACAATTCCAATGCAATGATTATTAATTTGGTTATATAACTAAGTCTAGAAAGAGCCTGTGATAGATTTTAAAATGAAAGTAAGCAAATATAATTGCTGAGGCAAGTGCAGAAATACACGAGCACAAAAGGATTGCATGATTTATGAATATTGGCAAGAAATGGAGCACAGTGATACTAGTTAAGTACTATTTTTAAATTGCACCTGAGATTTTTATTTGTTGTAACTTCCAAAGTTTTTATTATGATTTGGGTGAAAGTTCACAGAGCAAATTGATTTTCCATTCAACAATTTATACACATTCTATTTCATGCCTTTGATTGCAAGCTCCACAATGTAAGAGCACTCTTCCCAATTCTTCCTTATGTTTTCTGTTTCTATTCCTCCATCTTACTATCTTTTATTTCCATTGGGCTATATTCCTGAGTAAATACTACCCTTTTGATCATGTGTGGTTGTTCTAAGGAGTGCATACCTCCTGTCTATTTTTTGGCAAGGGACCCTGGAGGCCCAGTTGTTAGGACCTCAGCTGCTAACTGAACGTTCAGTGTTCTGAACCACAAGCAAATCCATAGGAGAGAGATGTGGCCATCTGTTTCTGTAAAGACTTAAATCCTTGTAAACCCTGTAAGGCAGTTCTATTCTGTCTCATAGGGTCGCTCTGAGTTGGACTTGACTAGAGGGCAATGGAAGTGTTTGGAGAAATATAAGGCACCAGGGTGAGTCCAGTTTCATGCCTGAGGAGTGTCTAAGGGGCATAGACTCGGGGGTCCTACCAGTCTGTATCAGACAAGTAAGCCTGGTTACTTTTATGATTTTGAATTTTGTTCCACATTTATACCACTCTCTATGCAGAACCTCTTATTGTGCTCTGTTTCAGAGCAGTCAGCAGTGGTAGCCAGGCACTCTCTAGTTCTTCTGATCTCAAGGTCACGGACGCTGAGGTTCAGGTGGTCCATTAGTCCTTAGGACTGTTTCCTTGCATATTTTATTTACTCTTCTTTCCTTGGACAGGGACAGACCAATACTTGCACCTTAGATGTCTGCTCACAAGCTTTTAAGACTGCAGTCACTACTCAGTAAAGTAAGATGAAGAACATTGTCTTTGTGGATTGTGTTATGCCAATTGATGTCCCCTGAGACAAAGTTCCTGAAATCCCAGGGTCAGTGACTCATTCTCTCAAGATGTTTGGTTACGGTCAAAAGTTGTCACAAGTAGTTAAGTTTTTTTGAGTACTCACTATATGACAAACCTTGCAATGAGTGCTTGTAGTGGTTAAGGTTCACTTTCTGATGTAATTACACTCCAGATGGTCTGTTTAAGTTCATATAGTGATAATTTTCCCAAAAAATTAGTAATTAGAATAAGAACAGGCCTATGATCCTTTTCTAATTCATGCAGGAAGAATACATATGTTTCCTTCAGCTGCCGTAAAAAATTACCACAAACTTGGTTGCTTAAAAAGATAAATTTATTATCTCACAGATCTGAAGGCTGGGAGTCAGGAAGCAAGGTGTCAAAGGGGAGTGTACTACCTTTGATAGCTCTAGGGAAGAGTCCATTCATTGCCTCTTCCAGCTTCAGGAAGAGTTCGATGGCTCCAGGTAGTCCCTGGGCTGTGGCCATATCATTCCAATCTTTCCCTCTGTGCTGTTGTTCCCTCTTATTTTCTGCACTGTCAGTTATGAAGATATATGTGATTGCAATTAGGCCTATCAGAATATTCCAGGCTTAATCTCCTCTGCAAAGACCTTTTGTCCAGTTAAGATAACACACCTTTTATCATATAAGTACCATTCACAAGTTCCAAGAATTGAGACATGGAAATACCGTTGTGAGGACAACCTGCTAAACCATTGCAGAAGGGTATGATGCGTGGCATTTAATCTGCATCCGTACAACAATCTGGAGACTATGAAGGAAACTGCATGCGGAACTAATGAAGTCCTCTTTCTGTTCCTGTTCCTGTGAAGTCCTTCTAATGAAAGATAGCTCTCTCTATCTTTATGAGCATATTAGTGTCTGAGATTCATTATATTATTAGCACCAAATCTTCACTGATGATGTTCAAATATTTCACAGTAATCTAAAACCACTGATAAAATGCAATTCTGACATTTTGTTGATGATGAAACACAGTGTGATTGATACTGATGATGACCCACAAGGTGAGTCTACCAATGACAGGCCTTAATAATTAATATATTGGCACAGCAGTTAGAAACATCATGAACAAGTTATTCTACCAACACATTTTCTCAAGCTTGCTGTTATGTCCCTGTTCCTCAGACTGTAGATAAAAGGATTCATCATTTGAGGGACCACAATGTACATCACCGAGGCTACTACTGTCTTCCTGGAGGAGTGTGGAAATGCAGAGTTGAGGTACACACCCAAGCCTGTCGCATAGAATAAGGAAACAATTGAGAGGTGAGACCCATAGGTGGAAAAAGGCTTATACTTCCCTCCAGCTGATGGGATTCTCAAAACAGAAGAGACAATCTGAGTGTAAGAGAATAGGGTCCCTGAGAGAGGAATACCACCCATTATGCAAAACAAAAGAATACATCAGGATATTTTTGAAGAGGGTACCGGAACAAGCAAGCTTGAGGACTTGAGCAAGTTCACAGAAGAACTGAGGGATTTCCAGGTCTGTGCAGAAGGAAGGTTTCAAACAATCAGACTATGGAGTACGGCATCAGCCATAGTAATAAACAATGAAAGTAGAATCAGGTGTTCATGATCACCGTATACCTCAGCTGGTGACAAATGCCTCATAGCAGTCATAGGCTATTTGTGCTAGAAGAAAAATTTCCAAGCCAACAAAAATGATGACAGAGAAAATCTGGCTGAGGCAGCCTGTGTAAGTGATGCTCTGATTCTGCGTATGGATGTTCACCAGCATCTTTGGGATGGTAGTTGTGCTTAAGCAGATGTCAGTAAAGGACAGATTGGAGAGAAAGAAGTACATGGGGGTGTGCAGGTGGGAGTCAGAGCTGACAGCCAGGACGATGAGCAGGTTTCCAAGGACAGTGACCAGGTACATGGTCAGGAACAGGCTAAAGATGAGGAGCTGCAGTTCTGGATCCTCTTGTCAGTCCCAGGAGAAGGAATTTTTAAACACCTGTTAGATTTCTGAGATCTATATTGTTGACGAATCTGATGGCAAAATGGGGAGATAAGATAATCAAATACTTGGTCACTGGAACAGCAGCAGCAGCAGAGGTGCACATTATGTGGGGAAGCAAGAAGAGGGATACCGGGCAATTTAAAAGGAGCTCTGGTAGTGTAGTGCCTAAGGCACTTAACTGCTAACCAGGAGGCTGGCGGTTCATACCCACCAGCCACTCCTCATAAGGAAGGTGGGACAATCTAGTTTCGTAGTGATACCACCTCAGAAACCCAAGGAGGGGTCGCTATAATTCGGGCCCAACTCGATGGCACATAACAACAGCAACAACTATGTATGCATATTATTAAGCTATTTTAGGAAAGAGACAAAGTGCCTGAAGCTGGTATTGCAAAGTGTCAGCATTTATTTATTCTAGAAAGACATGGTGATGATAATTTTTTTTTGTTACATTATCTGTGCTTTTATAGTAATTTTATGAATAGAAATACACAGACTCAGGAGGGAGCCTGATGATTCAATCTGGATCTCCACCTCCTTTCTTGAATTTAGAGCCAGGCAATAGAGATAATGCAAAGAGATATTAAGAGCCAGGAAGATAAGATAAGGCTGACAGACCTGATGGTATAGTCACCATGAAAAAAAAAAAATGCAAGTAAATTTAAGAGAGTTTTGTAATAGTCATAATGTTTGACAAGAGTTAGGTTATTGCTCCACAGGAAAGTTATTATTGCAATTGTAGTCACAGAGGAAAATTTAGCAGAATGAGAACTCCTTGATACTGGTGCTAAGATAGTAGAAATTCCAATAAGGAAATCACATACAAAAAAGATTCCAATAGGAGACTTGGTTCCAATCATTTTCTGCAAACACTTTCTTCACATACATCATTCCCTTGGATGTACCTGTTGTAACAAGCCTGGCCTCCTTTCCAAATACTAACTGGGGGGCTGGCTATAGATCACCTGGCTTGCATCACAGAGGAATGATGCCCAATTTCTGCTATGGATGTAGAATCTGGAACCGCGGTCCTGAGAAAGTACAGAGGATGGAAGTGAAGCACTGTGCTCCTGGGTGAAAACATAGTCATCTCTGGGAAGAGGTTTATGTTCCACCTCCTTCCAGAGGAGTGACCCTTAAGTGAGATGGCACAGGCAGGCTATTTGCAGTCTCTTTACCCCTGGAGGCTCAATATCCAAAGGTCCTCATTAGCCCAAAACATTCATTTTCATTCTGATCCAAGGAGAGGAAAAGTCCTAAAAGACCAATACTTTAGAATGTGGAATTCAGGATTATTGATTACCTGACTCTTAAAGGCCAGATGAACGCTATTCACCTCTCTCCACCTGTTTCTGCTCACCTCCATGACAAAGTCATCTCTGACTAATCAATGGTATCAGGAAACCCAAATGCAATATTAGGAAGCACAGTTTATATGTATGAATAGAAAATGGCTACTCCCTCATTGGGTGTCTGAGGCTGTAAATCTTTACAGAAGTAGACTGCCCCACTTCCCTTCCATGGAGCAGCTGATAGGTTTGAACTGTTAACCTTTTGGTTAGCAGACAAATGCATTATCCACTACACCACCAGAGCTCCCATAAATATACATAACATAGGGTAAAAAATGAAAACTCAACAATTCAATTTCCTGAGAACCATCTTATATAAACATCTTGTGTGTGGATGTGGGTGTGTGCTTGTGTGTGGTGATTTTCCTCATTCTCTTATTGTAACATTCTTATTTTTTGTTTAACCATGAACTATAATTTTGTCTGCAAGAATTCTTTCTGAGAACAAAATATTTTACCATAATCTTAAATCATCATAACTACATACTTCCTTTTCCAAAGGATGTGCACGTCCTCTTAAAGTAGAAGCAGGGATTTTGGGAAAAGGGGCATTTTACCCAGACCTATGGTACTCATTTAGTCATGACAGCCATTTCACTTTTAATGCTTTACACAAAACCAACTAGATTTAACTGTTATATATACAATACTCCATCCAACAGTTGCATTGGAGAAAGACTCATTAACAATATGTGATATTCAGATGACACAACCTTGCTTGCTGAAAGTGAAGAGGACTTGAAACACTGATGAAGATCAGTATAAATTACACTTTGATGTAAAGAAAGCAAAAATCCTAATAACTGGACCAGTAAGCAACATCAAGTTCAATGGAGAAAATATTGAAGTTCCCAAGGATTTTGTTTTACTTGTATTCATAACCAATGCCCATGGAAGCAGCATGCAAAAAATCAAGTAATATAATGCATTGAGCAAATCTGCAAAAGACCTTTTCAAAGTGTTAAAGAGTAAAAATATCTCTTTGAATACTAAGGTGCACCTGATCGGAACCATGGTATTTTCAATAACTTTACATGTATGTAAAAGCTGGATAATGAATAAGAGTGACCAAGGAATAATTGATGCCTTTGAATTATGGTGTCGGTGAAGAATATTGTATATATTCTGCCAGAAACAGCAAATCTATATTGGAAGAAGTACAACAAGAATGTTCCTTAGGACCAGAAGAACTAGATGGTGCCTGGCTACCAGTGTCAACCACTTGGAGGAGGATCGGTGCAAGAGATCGTGGATAGAGTGGAAGAACAATTTGGAACAAAACTCAAATCATAAAAAAAGACCAGGTTTGCTGGTCTGATAGAGCCTAGTGATGTCTCTGAGACTATGACTGCTAGTTACCCTCCATGTCTGGAACTGACCTCACTCCTGTGGTTTCCAGCTAAACAATAAACAGGCATATGGGGTGAACATTTACAGCAGGCAGATACACTCCTTGGAGCGATCAATCATGGGAGAACAGAAAGGAAGTGTTTGCACAGGGAGACAGCTCAGAGGACGAGAGTCCATGGGAGGGAAGGGCACAGGAAGAGGTGACTACAGGGAGGAAGTGAGAAGGAGCTGTTACATTGTGGGGAACTGCAGTCAATGTCATGAAACAAAATGTGTATGAACTGCTGTATGGAAAATGCATTTGCTCTGTAAACTTTCACCCAAATCACAATAAAAATTAAAAAGAAAAGAATGTTCCTTAGTTAGGAGCAGTGATGGGGAAACTTCAGTTCCTTACTTTGGTCATGTTAACAGCAGAGACAAGGACCTGACGGAGGGCATCATTCATGATAAATTAGAGGGTCAGCCAAAAAGAAGATAACCTTCAATCAGATGAATTCATACAGTGGTTTCAACAATGAGCTCAAAGATAGCAATGATTGTGAGGATGGCACAGGTCTGGGCGACGATTTGCTCTGTTGTACGGTAAGCTTCCCATGAGTTGGAACCGACTCCATGACACTTAACAAGAATAATAACTTAACAGTAGAAGTGTACAGCACTTCTCCAGTGCACATGGATACTTTAACAGGATAGATCATATCCTAGGTCACAAGAAAAGTCTCAGTAGGTTCGAAAAGTTTGAAATTGTACCAAGATTCTTCCTAGCAACAATGGAATGAATCTAGAAATCA